AAAGCAATGGAAGAAATCACTAAGGGAAAGAAAATCAATACATTTGACTACACCAAATTTAAAACTTCTGGATGACAGAAACCTTTCTAAACAAAACTAAAAGGCAAGTGACAAGTCTGGGGAAAATATATGCAGTAAATATTTCAAAGGGTTGTTATCCTTCACATATAAAGAGCGCTATAAATCGACGAGAAACACACTAGAATGCCAGCCAAAAAATGAGCAAAGGGCATGAATACACAAATAGCTTAATAAACGCATGAAAAATGTTTCACTGCACCAGTAGTCAAGGAAATGCAAATTAACACAATGCTAAACCACCCTCCACCTATCAAATTAAGATAGAATTAAAAGTTGGTGAGGATGAAGCCATCAGCTACTAGTTTCCCAGGAAAAAGAAAGCATTTTTTTGGCTTTCAATAGCTCCCTACCACCCAGAGGAACAGTTCAAAGACCTCCTCACAAGGCCCACTAGACTGTGGAGGGTCCTCTCCCTGCCTTCCTCTCTCACCATGTCCCAGCTCCCATCTGACACTTTGCTGAATTGAACCAGTTGTAACATCCTGAGCACGGTACGGAATGTCATGTCTGCCCAGGCTGCCCTTCCTGTCTGGTGCTGCCCCTCTACCTCCACCTTCCCTGACCCCTCCTAGTCTTTTCCTCCTAACCCCTACTCTTCCTCAACAACCCTTCCAAGATGGTGCCACCTTCAGGAAACTCACGAGCGGGGCTTGGTGCCTTTGCCCTGTTCTCTCATTACACACACATTCCTTACTTAGCACTTACCAGGCAATACTGAAAATGACTCTTTATGGCTTTCTTTCCACCTTAGACTATATGTGCCCCAAGAGGGGCATTACACTTTTACTTATTCCTCTATCTCTTGGCCTAATCCAATGGAGATGCTCCACAGAAGCTTCTTGAACTAAACAATCATGTAATAAATTAATGATTCCATTTTGCACCATAAATTTTTGCCACTATTCTGGTAAAAGCAAGTTTTACTTAAAATGGATGAAATTAAGTCATTTTGAATGGAGAGAAAATATCTCACCCATGCCCCAACCCTCATTTCAGTGTCCACATTCTATCATCCTGTGGGTTGTAACCAATTATGGGCCATGAAATTAATTCATGGGTCATGACCACCATTTTTTTAATGAAAATTATTAGAAGAGAACAGAATGACTCTTTTTACCTGTTCTTCCCTTTGCCTGTCCAACATTTTCTATTATTTTCATTTCCCCACCCACCTTCCCCTAGCAGGAAGAAGCAGTGGTTAAACATACAAGTTGGGGAGATGAAATGCTTGCTCTGATTCTTATTATGACACCCCAGGAAAGCTACTCAGCTTCCTAGGTTTTGGTCTTCTTCTCTGGAAAATAGAGGTGAAAAAATAAAAATAAGCTCTGCTGAGGATGCATCTCAGTGGTACCGTGCTTAGCTAGCATACATGAGACTTGGGGTTTGATCCCCAGCACCTCAAAAAAAAAAATTTAGATAGGCTGACGCAGTTTTACTTCTCAACACTGTGCCTGGGCATTTCTGGCAAGGAGTGGGTGCCCACCAGCAGCAGACCACACCCTACACTACTCCCCCAGAATTTTCTGCTGTGAGGCCTGGCTCCTTCTTCCTCTGTTCCTAACCAGTTGCCCACCCTGCCTTTAGATTGTGACTCAGTTTTGAGCCTCTCAGCCTTGGGGGAGGTAATCACGTGCTCAGTGGCACCAGGCACATTTATGAGTCCTAAGCCCCTAAGGCCTGAGATTCTGAAAGAAGTAGCTCCTTCTAAACTGCAAATCTGAGTGCTAAAAGGCTCCATGGTTCCCACGGTGCTCACCAGTATGCTCAGGATAAATCTCAGTTCCTTAGGTGACCTACTTACAAGGCTCCTTCTGACCTAAGGCCCTGCCAACTTGTCCAGCCTCTCACCCCTGCATCCCACCCTCCAGCTCCCCAGTCACCTGCATTTCCCAAGCAAGCCATGCTCTCAGCCCTGGGCCCTTCCCAAGTTGTGCTGTCTGCCCTCATCCTGTTCAAGTCTCCATGCAGGCATCAGCTCCCCGCATGGTTTCTGCACCCTATCCCTCTACACCCACCAACCCAAGTGCTCATTTGTCTGGGCAGGGGTGGACTCTTTTGCTCCCCATCGCCAGCAGCCAGCATAGCACTTCCCTGAGAGGAGGCTTTCATTACACCTTAGTGGGAGGAAAGGAAGCAGGAAATGGAGGGGAATTCTTCAGCTGACACCGTCCCCACATTCCCAAGGCAAGCTGAGCCTTTGAACTGCAAGCCACATTCTCAAGATCAGGCTCCCCTCGTCTAGTATAGCTGCGAGTACCAGGGGCTGTCATCTCCAGAGGAATGTGAACTTGAACAACCCGCCCTTTGGACACTGATGAGGCCAGGAGCTTCCACTAGCTTTGCAGCGTGAAATGCTGCAAGCCTAGGGTATTCTCTCTACTGCAGTGATGTTAGGTCACTGGCCACTCAGTTCCAAGAATAGCAGTCCTTGATTGGACAAAGCCATGGTAACTGGGGTGACACTCCCTGGGTCAGCTGCATCAGGCTGTGGGGGCTCACGGGGGAAAAGGGTTGACATAGATTAAGCAGAACCAGGCATAACTGGGCATTTTACATGCCTCATTTTGTTAGGTTGACATACCCATTGAGGTAGAAGTCTTGATTTTACAAAGGAGAAAGCTAAAGACAAGAGAGGTTTAGTAACTTGCCCAAGCTCACACAGTAAATGCCCAGGCCCAAATTTAAGTCTAATTCTGTGACTCCAAATATCTTGCTCCATTCACACTGGATTTCTATCCCTGATTAATTCCTTCACTAGAATTTGGAGTCTAATGGTCCTAATCCAGGACAGGAGGGCATGGAGGCCGTGGAAGGATGGCTCTGTCACCACATCCATAAACACTAGTGAACTAGGGACTTGGGATGTACCCATCACTGTCCTGGGACCCCCTATGCTCTTCACCCAGCTCCTCCCCAGGGGTGACCTCTGCCAAATCCCCAAGGGCCTAGAGTGGTGGGATCACTCCTATTCTAATGATGGTGCTTCCACCTCAACCACTGCCCGCAACACCAACTACATCCAGGGACTTCTTGTTCAGCACTGGAGATGCAAGGAAAACTGCACCATGGCAGCACCGGAACCCTGCAGACCAGCAGATACCTTCCAGATCTTTAGCCACCTCTCCTCCCAGTGCAAAGGGCAGCACCTCAGCTTGAGAAAGCAGGATCACCAGGTTGGGCAGGGCTCCAAGGGGGAAAGCAGCAAAGGACATGGCATCAGGAGTGGAGAAACTCCCCCCGCCCCGTATCTGGAGGATGGAGACCAAGGCGTCAGTTCAGAGCTGCTTCTGTCTAGTTGAGGATTCTGGTCCAGGTTAATACCTAGGAGACACTTACAGCTGTAGCAGCCACTGCAACCTCAACACGGTGGTTTCCAGCCCAGTGATGAAAGCAAGTTTCAACAGGGAGAGCTGCTGGGTGTGGTGACACACACCTGTAATCCCAGCATTTGGGAGGCTGAGGTCGGATAGCCGTGAACTTAAGGCCAGTTGTGCTACATAGGGAGAACTTGCCTCAAAAAAAAAAAAAAAAAAAAAAGGCAAGGCAGTGAATTTTAGAAAAAGGAGGAGGGTTGCCTATTTGTGAAGGCCTCACACAGAACAGTCAAAGTGGTTTTGTGGACATTTCCCAGTCACCACCTGCCAGTGAAGTGGGAGTTAACTACATAACACTTACTCAGGGTTAATGGTCATGGACAATTGTTATGGTTTGGATTAAAAATGTTCCCCCAAAGGCTCATGTATTCAGAGGTGCTTAGAACATGGGGGCACCAACCTTGTCAGTGGATTAATCCACGGTCAGTGTGCAGTGAGGAGGCAAGGCCTAGTTGGAGGAAGTTGGTCAGTGGGGACATCATTGGAGCGTGCCTTGAAAGGAGTGTCTTTCCTTGGGCTTTCCCTCGCCCCTCTGCTTCCCAGGGGTTCTAGGCTGAGCAACTTTCCTCTACCAGGCCCTTCTGCCATCATGTTTCTGCCTTGCAGCAAGCTGACCATGTACTGAAACCACTGAAACCGTAAGCCAAAATAAAACTCTCCTTTAAATCCTGTATGTTAGGTATTTTGTCCCAGGAACAGAAGAGTGACTAATACAACAATCAGCAAGGTTTCCTCCAGGACCCATCCTGCAGTCCTTGAGAATGAGCTCCAACCTCCCGCTCTTGACTGTACATCCCAGGTTGGGTTTGGAGCACACTGCGCTGGTTAGAAGCACCCTGTTTCCCAGGACAGAATGAAATGTGCCAATGAACAGGTGATTATTCACCCCCACCTTGGATTTGGGAATAGGGGTTCTTGGTTTCTAGCATTAGGCTGATGCATTTTCTGACTTGAGTTATGACAGAGAAAATGGTGTAAGAACAAATGTGCAGCTCCAACCATGATGAACAACATAGGATATAAACCAGGGCAGCCCCCTAGCCAGCCCCCTCTTTCAAAAGGAGGACTGCAATCGGATGCAAGGGCACATGCTTTTAATCCCAGCATTCAGGAGACTGAGGCAGGTCCATGAGTTTGAAGTCAGTCTGAACTACACAGTGAGACAGAGAGAGAAACAGACAGAAGCAGTACTGGGAAGAAGCAAAGTACTTCAGGCTTTCTTATGTGCTTACATTGGAAATTATGCAATTTGTTGGCTCGTACTTGGATTATTCAATTGTGATTCTGGGTCCTAAAATCTTGAGTCATAGAAAAGCCCTCACCTTTCAATATTTCCAGCACAGATACCAGAAGAAAGAAGAACACACCCTTAGTGCATGTCATTGCTGACATGGATGTCTTCGCCTCGAAGGCATCCTTAAATCTTTTGAGACACACACGAGATAACTTCAAGATTCTTAGGCTCTCTCCTCCCATCCTCCATTTTTAAATCCATCCCACCATAGATATGCGTGAGTTTGACTCAATAACCACACATTTGAAGAAAACGTAAGTATAAATCTACTATTCACCTAGAGGTAGCTAGGTAAAATTGCAGGCATAATGGTAAAAAGGAAACAATCAATTGTACAGGGCTCAGCTTCAAACCTAAACATATAGAGGGAAGAAGGGCCTCAGACGCCTCCAGGACCAGGCAGGTAACACAAACAAACAGGTCAGGTGAGACAGTGTAAGGTGAGAGAGTACAAGAAGAGGCAACCTCGACTTAGTTCTCACTGATTGTCCTCTTTTAAAACCGCCACACCTTCTGATTGCTCCAGAGAACCCAGAAATTCTGATTTTAATATGAAACCGCTTGATTTTTTAGAGGGCATCTCAATTTTCTTGGAAACACTAAGTAGGCTAAATCAAGCTGACAGCCTGCCAATCCTCCACCCGCTGCTGTACGAGCGGTGGATGGCGTCTCCCCTAACTGTGGTATTAGACTGCCACTCTCCAGCCACCACTTGCCACTGCAACGGAGGCATCCACACGCAGCTGGACTCCCGAGCCCTGGAGAATAACTAACTCTACGAGAAAAGAGGAGGGCCCAGCTGAGCCACCCAGGCACGGAGCAGGCCACCGCGGCCACCGGCCCGCCTCTAGGACTAAATGGCCGACTGCTCCTGCAGGAAGCCTTCGGAACCCGGGAGGCTTTTCTCTGGCTCAGAAGCCAGAGCCGCCTCTCGAAGGACTTCCAGGTGCTCCTCGGCAGCTGACAGGGACTGGTCAATCCAATCCAGGCCCCCAGTCAGGTGGCAGGCATTCCTGGTCACCAGCACTAGATGACTGACGGACAGAAGCAAGGCAGTCGTCCTAGGGGAAAAAAAAAAAAACAGATTCAGGCCCCCTAGGAAATGAGGGACTTGGCACAAAATCCCAAATGGACACATTCTAGACTAGCATTCCACACACTGGAGACCCTTTCCTGGGAGGTCAGTAGGAACAGAATATGATGGTTCTACACTCAAACAGATTGGGGGATTGCTAGATTAAGCAAGGTTAAATGAAGCACGTCTCAGAGTTTTTGGTTTATCTGAGAAAGCTCCAAGGGAGACTGTAAGATGCTTTGTCTCACAAACTTACTTAAGGCTGCAGAAGCCACTTTCTGCAGCTCACCTATTACCGTCTCCCGGAAGAGTGTTTTGTGAAGCAGTTCAGAGCTGGTCAACTGGATGAGCAGATCTCCAACTGCCATCGCTTAAAACCCACCCTGAGCATCCCTTACTGATGAGCAATGAATAAAGCTCAGGGATCACTTACCCAATCTAAGAAAAGAAACTGTTGGAAATCAAACTGAGGAGGAGTTTGTTTTCAGCACTGAAAAGATGTACTGTAAAGTACCTCTGGTACAGTGAGTATGCCGGCTGCATGTGAGGCTCTGTGACAGAGATGAGCGGCAGCAGGAATGGGGCAGAGAACCCAAAGTTGAAGTCCCACAATTCACTGCTTATCAGCAACCAGTACACAGTGTGCCTGGGAGATAGTCTTAAAAAGCAAAGGCAGAAAGAGGTGTGTGTGTGTGTGTGTGTGTGTGTGTGTGTGTGTAATGAGTTCACATCCGGTACAGGAACAGAGCTACTACATAAGGCCACGTACTCTGTGAGTATTAGGGGAGGAGCAGGAGCAGATTTTCTGGGGTACTCAGTGCAGGTGAGGACTACTATGGGGAATGCGTCCTCACCACTCCTTGCTCTGCTCCCCACGGCCCACAGGCAGCTCTCATAGCTGGGTGTATCTGCTTCCGGGTCCAAAGACCAGCGGGGCCGGCAGCGGGTAGTGAAGGGAGAGAGGCACAGCTAGAACCTGGCATGGCTAGATGTTTAATCAGGAAATTCTAAACCTCCGACTGGTTCTTTCTTCTCAGGGGTTTCAGAGAGAGAGGTCTGGGTTCTATCATTATCTGGCCAGGCCTGGTCCCCCAAGTGGCTGACTGTTCATAGCAAAGTGAATTTACTCAGACCTGGGGCCACTGTGTGAACCCAGCAAAACAGCTCTCTCTGCACAATTGGATCAGCCAGCCTCACGCACAGGACAGTGACAGGACAGTGACCCTCACTGTGAAGAGACAAGCGGGTGCTCCGCCCCTCACCGTGCATCCAGGAGCTTGGGGTCCAGCGGGGGGTACATGGACTTCACGACGTCATCCACTCTGAGGGGAGACAAAAGCAATCCTCTTCAATATTTCACTTACCTCATCTCCTTTTCTCCTGCCTTCCTCCTGCTATCCGTATTCCAGTCCCTCTCTGGTGAAATTCCAGACCCTATCTTCCATGGTTCTCTAACTGCCTCTGCAGGGTCAGTGAAAAGACCTCATGGGCAGGTCAGAGAAAACCTTGCTTCCTGGTTGTTTCCATTCCAACGGTTTAAACATACAAGGCCACATACACAGACGGATGTTCAAGATTACTACTGAATTCAAAAGGCTATTGCCAAAGAATATGTAAAGCTTGACTGAGCCCATTTGTATAAAAACAAGCAAAAGCTATGAAATAAAAGGAGAAAAAATCTGGAGGACTATTTATAATTTAATAGTGATTATCTCCTGAAATTAGGAGGGAGTAGGGTTAGGGAACACCTCACATGCCAGATAATCTGTGTCTACAATATTTAAGTTTCACAAGCATTTATTATTTTTGTGTTGGCGGGGTGCTCATGGCTACTGGAGTTACACAGAACACTAAGAAAGTCACAAGCTTAATTAAAATTCAAACTGCTCCATTGTGTCCCTCTTCCCATGTGGTACAGTTCCAGGTAAATTTTTTTAAGTCAAGTTCAGAAAGGAATGACAATCCATTCGAATTTGTTAAGTACAAGATTTTGCTCTAAATCTTTGCCCACAGACCAACTGATAGGAAGGAAAAATAAAGATGTATTGTTTGGTTCTGAAAGCACTTGAAAATAGATGCCCTGGTTTTTGCTGAGGGCTGAGGGGAAGCGCAGAGCTCCGGTTGCCCTGGTCACCTGTCTGGCCAGGCCCTCCCTCTCTCCCTAGTGCCCACTGAGGAAGCCACTCTCCTTGTAATGCTAGGCCACAGCATACTACATGGACTAAATGGAGCAGGAAAATCAGTGGGGATGGGAATCGGCCTGACGGAGAGTATGAAGGCAAAAAAGACAACGCCCCAACTGAACTATGACAGCAAGCAGTAAGGCAGCAGTCGAGCGGGTCCTAGGTGCTCCACGGGCACTGGGGCAGGCCCACACTCCTGGTGGCGCCATATCCTCACCTCAGCACACTGCCAGCCTTGTTCTCCCTCAGACACCTCCATGTCCTGCCTCTCCTGACCCCTCCTGAAATGCTGCTCCTAACTTGTATCGCAGGGACTGTCCAACCCCTTGCGTGGCTCTTGGAAGAGACAAAAAGCAAGATGAAGAGGCCAGCGGATATGAGCCATGCAGAATCTCCAATAACAATAAGTGAGAGACCAGCAGGACTGTCATGCTTGCTCCGAGCCTGGCAAACACCGATACCAGCCACAAAGCTGTGCCCATGGGGGACAACTCCAGAGAAAGCCATGAACTGCACCCCCAGTCCCTCTCTGAATGGTCTTCCTTACACTTCCTCAGCTCACTGCACTCCCTGGGCAGAGTGTAAGTGCAGCAGGTCATGTATCCCTCAGAGGACCTCATGGCTGTCCACCCACGGGAAGCTGGTTGCTTTTGTTTGGTTCATCTTGAGGTAGGGAAGGGGCTGTCTCCTCATGATTTACCCAAAGTCATGGCAACAAAGAAAGTGAGGTCCTTAGACCTGGGGGTGGGGAGTAGGTCTTCAGAGAGAGGGTCTAGGTGGCTGATAAGGAAAATATCCAGGACTTAGTTTCTAGGCTCAGGCACATCCACATACCAGCCACCAGATGGCAGCACAAACAGTACCGTGCTGCCCTTTGCTCTAAGAAAAGAGCTTTATTTTTCTTCCCAAAGTGGAGCCCAGATGAGGGGGTGTAGTTGTTAATTGCAATCCTGCTGGTTGCCTCCCACACAGGATCTCTGCAAACAGCCTGGAATTTGGGAGGTCTCTATGCTGTATGGCTTCACCTCCCACCCGGTCCTGAAGGCTGCTGGTTGGGCTGTGGAGTGGGCCGTGAGCGAGGGCCACCACATCAAGGCAGAGGTCCCCACACTAGTCCTCAGTACAGATACAGGCTGGGCACAAGGGCAGGGCCAGGGGGTCACTGGAAGAAGGAGATGGGTGCCACTGGGAAACGAGAGCTTCCTGGAGGATGGAGTCTCAGGGAAGGCAGGAAAGAAGTCCAGCTGAAAGTGACGGAGCAGGGAGAGGCCGCCAGGGAGCTGCAAAATGGACTGTCAGAACCAGTAACACTGGAGCTGATGAAAGGCCTATCAGACGCATGCTGAAGGTGGGGATGTGGGAGACTAGCTTAGCTGGGGCGTCCCCATGTTCAAATCCTTCAGGCAACTGAAGGTGCCCACTTACTACAGCCTGGCCCTGCAGGCTACCTTCACTTCCCCCATGGCGTGTGGGGACCTCGGGCCTCAGATCACTCACCTGGGGCTGATCCGCTTGGCTACCACAATGATGTCACTGACACTGGCTGAAGTCTTCATCTTGGTCCCCGAGCCCATTGTCATGGCAACAAGTTTTTCTGTCAGAGTGTGACAAATCTAAAGGCAACAGGGAGAGAAGTTATGACAGGTGACCTGGTTCCAAGGGCTCCTGCCACCCCCACAAAGACAAATATGGCCTCGCCTTGGGCGCCACCACACAGCTGGCCCTTTGCCCTGGTGGCTGAGTGGAAGTGAAAAGAACAGGATGAGAAAGAGTGGGGTGGGAAGAGCACTGCGGGGGACACCTCAGATCAAGGGCAGAGCTCTGGCTCCGAGAAGTCTAAGCTGGAATAATCCATCTAAGAACAATCATGTGCTCCGACTTCACATTCTTCCTTAGTGGGAAAAACTGGACTTTCTATTCCTTCACTTCGTGCTTAAGGCTCCCAAAAGGACAGTATCTGCGGCAAAGCACCTGCAGACACAGGGCTGGACCGAGGGCAATTGTTCCCTAGAAGCACATTCTCCAAATAAAGGCACTCATTTCAACGATTCTGAAGGGTAATGTGTCATTAGCGCGTTTGTCAGATGATGATGAAAAGACCTTAGCAAAACCAAGGGAAAAGACTACGACACATGGCCCGTTCTCATCACCCACCAACAGCCTTGGCCACCACCACCAGCCCCCAAGCTTGTTTTACGGTTCTCTGCCTCCCTAGGTGAGAATGGGATAGTTTCTACCCCTGCGAAGAACTCCACTGCCTGCTGTATACTTGGGGCTGGAGAGGAGGGCAGAAAGAAGCCACAGAGCCCCCGGGGGATGGGGAGAGGCCCAGCCCTCTTCCTCAAACTCCCAAGAGAGGAAGCCACAAGGTTCAAGGGCAAGTGACCAAGCAAAAGGGTTTGAAATCCCATGAAGAGGGTGAGAAGCTTGTTCCTTTGATCTGAGGTCTCTAAGATGGACACCGGTTTCAGTCTCATAAGACTGTTGCCAGCTAATCCCTCCTTCTCCACAGATGCCATTTATCTTCCCTTCTGATAGGTAAGGGACAAAGCCCAGTCATAGGACATACCTTGGTTGGAGAAGGAAAATATAATGTGGCTTTGCTGCTACAGTCATTATACCCAACTATTTACATCTATAACTATATCTGTATCTACAGTAGTACTTCTAAATCCAGACAGCTTCCTGGAATTAAATAATAAGGCACAGACTCTGAGGCAACAATTTCCTACTAAGCTGTCTTTGCTCCAAGAGAGAAAGCCAAAGAGGTACAATAAAGAATTTTTAATATCTTCTACTGAATAACAAGGTTGTCTTTTTTGAAATCTTGAATAATTACTAGACAAAGAGTAAAGTTACTCAAGTGAAGAAACTCATATGTGCAACTGGCCAAATGCTTGAGAATTATTATTATTCTATCCGGTAGGCAAGAATCAGAAAACTAATGCTGAATTATCAAAATTCCTCCAAATGCAAACTGGATGCAATTTTCTAAAGATGTTAAACACTCAAAGATAAGTCTGCCTCCAAGTTGAAGTACACGTGGTTTGGACTTTTTTACTCTGACAGCCTCATTTGGCTATTGTCATAGCTAACACAGATAGGCAAGACTTTCTAGTAACTGAAGTCCAAATACAGAAATCAGCTTGCTGTATAGGCCTAACCTCTCTGTTAAAGAAAATGCTTGGGAAAAGCAGCTGCATGGCCTCGAGCATGCAGCTTTGCCCTCAGTCCTCCAGGTCACTGTGTTAAGCAGACCAAATGAAATAAAAGCCTAAAAAAAGATCTTGAGAATACTAAAGTAAAACAGACCGAAAAGGCAAGAGCGGACACAGACAGTAGAAATGCCAAGTGGCAGGCTAAATAGTGGCCTCTCGCAGGATTTGGTTTGCTTCCTACAGTCTCCGGTCTACACCTGGGGTGTTTCGGTGACTGCCTTTGATCTCACAGGGAATCAAAGGGTATTACCTTCAAGATGGCGATGCAGTGGGACATGAGACCCCTGGCAAGACAAGAAGAATGTGTCAGTGCTGATTTAAAGAGCCCACCTCCCCCACCAGTCACTACCCACCCTATCCAGCGCTGACCAGGAACCACAGCTGGATACCACCCGAGGGCACTAATGCCTTGGTGTGAAATCAGAAGCCCAGGATCCCTTCCCTTGCACATCCTACCTAGTCCTCCACCCAGCTCAGCTCCCCACTTATAAAGCCATGCTTTTTACAACTCTGCCTCTCTTGTAAGCTGTTCCCTTGCTCAACACACTCCCTCTTCCTCTTAGGCTCAGCCTGGGGGACTCCTTCTTACCCTGTGTTCCAAATCAAAAGATACCCCTTGGTAATATCCTTCCAGAAAGCCACCCTGACCTCCCCTCAACCAGGCAAACCTCCTTCTTGCGCTCACTGCACCACACCCAGAGATCCCCTATAGTTCCTGTGATGCTGTATTTGGTATAATTCTAGCTTCTCCAGCATCCGAGTATCTTCAGGGCCTGGTACAGTGCCCTGCACAAAGTAGCCCACAAACATGTGCCTAGTGAATGGATAGATGACTACATGGCTAAGGAAAAGAAGTGGCACAAACTTCTCCAACAGCAGGGACTCCTGCTGGATGGAGAGATCCATCAGGATGCTCAGGACAATGCTTCATCCCTGGAGCCTGACTGTCAAATTCATGGGCATCCTAAGGATAAGCCAGACACCTGCAGGTGACTTTATAACCATCTCTGCTACACGTCTAAAGGCCTGGGTGTTCAGGTCTACAAAATGGCAGGGGCATAGGGAACAAGGACAAACACTGTCAGGTCCTACTCTGATTCTCCCCATGCTGAGGGCCAGGGAAGCACCTCTGGGTACCCAGTGGAGTGCGCTGCCAAAAGGAGGCAGAAAGAGGTGCCCAGGAGCCCCTTTCCCATCCCCAGAGGGCTACAGGAAAGCAAAAAGTCCCCGAGGCCTTACGAGGCATCTTCGATCCAGTCTTCATTCTCCAGAATGGCCTCGATGTGGGGGTTGGTGATGACAACATCGTCCAGTTCTAACTCTGAGGGCTCAGACTGAGTCTCCATGGCACCGATGAGGTCCACAATGGGCCTGGAAGGAGAAACCTTGTTACAGTTTCAGGATGGGTGAAGCTGCCGACCTTCTCATTGTAGCCCATTACTCTAGTTTGAGTCTGGATGTCCCCCAAACAAAGTCTTGATTCCCAGAGTGGCACTACTCGGAGGCAGCGGGGAGCCTAGTGGAAGGTCCTTAGATCACTAGAGGCTTTCCCTCAGAGTGGTTTGTGGGACGCCAGCCCCCTCCTTTTCCTCTTTTGTTTCCATTACCGTAAGGATCCATCATGTGACTCCTACCATTGCTATCTGGCAGCCCCCTCTGAGGGGTAAAAGCAGTGGGTCCACCAGAACATGGACTACACACTCCAAATCATAAGCTTTTTCTCTCAGTCAGTTAATTATCAGGTTATTTCTCATATGACAGGAAGTTGACTAATACAACTAGTGAATGGATAGACCACCAAAAGAACAAAAGGAGCTGATACATTAGAGCAGAGCCCCACTTGTTCTGGATCCAAACCTAACTCTATCTGGACCATAGCTGAAGGCAAGGTAGAGGGCTAAACAATGAGTCAAGAAGTGGGCAGGGGCATCACAACACAAGTGAAACAGAATCGGATGAGCTACTGAAAGAACAGAGCTATAATTATACGATGACAAATATGTGTTAGACAGGGCTACTCCCTTTCATCACTTATTTTTCCCTTCAACCCTACATTATATGGAAAGGATAATGCTCCTATTACCCCAGCTTACCTGCACCCTCTACCTGGCCGGCAGAATCACTCTGGGGTACAACCTTTGTCTCCTCTCTATTCCCTACCTTAGAGAAGTGGGAGAAGTCAAAACATCTCTTCCTTTACAGGATTCTTTAAAAATCTGAAATGCTGCAGCTTTCTTTAAAATAGCAGAGCTTTCTTGGGTTACTTAAATGGGAACTTACAAATTACCAACCACTCAACAGACGGGCTGATAGAATTGACAGAAGGATAACAAAAGCTAAGGGACAGTTGCCAAGGTCCTTTAAGGATCTAGCAATTAAAACATCCTCAGCTCAGCGGTAGAGCACTTGTTTAGCATGTGCTAGACCCTGGGTTCAGTCCCCAGTACCTCTCCCATCTTCCAAAAAAAATCCCTAAACTGAAAATAGGACCTTGCTTACAAAATCTACTTCACATAAAATGCATCACGAGGAAATGTGCCTTACAGAGAGGCAAGCCTATACTGGGATTTCACCAGAGTATCTGGCTTCCATGTGTGACTGAAGTGGGCAGTGATTTCTTTCTGTCCCCAGAGTTTGGTTGGAAAGGGATTTACCTTGTCCCACTGCGAATGTGCACAGATGACTGTGCCTTCATGCTAGGTGGACAGGTCCAGTGACTTTCTCAACATCTCAGTGAACACAGAAAGAAGCAGCTCAGGACAGTGAGGGCTTAAGGAACATTCTTAGGCTCTGAGGTCTTTCCTGGGAAAGCCAGTCTCCAGGGACCATTTTGGAGAAATGAAATAGAGCTAGCATGGTCCAGCACTCAACTGCTTGTGCTGCTGCTTTGGTGGAAGCCCCCTACACACACACACACAGGGCCACTCACTTGGTATCATAGCGCTGCAGCAGGTCTCGGGGGCGGCAGTAGCGCTGCCTGCAAACCACCACCAAGGCTGCAAAGGACGCCAGGAAGATGGTGGCCAGCACCCCTATCGCAACAATCACCACAGTCTCCATCTTCTGGGTGGCTCCCGACTCAGCCCTGCTCACATCCTCCTCCGAGGGTGAAGCTGGAGAGAACACGAGGCAGGACAGACCTGGCAAAGAAGCCAAGAAAGAAGTGACAAATGGGGCAGGTAAGGGCATGGGACATCAGGTTCCCCTTAAGTCACCTGCAGAGACTCAAGGGCCTGAAGACAATCAAGATGTGCTTTATGCCCTGCTCAGATGTGCACTTCTTCCCAGTTGGACCAGGGTGAGTTTTTAAACCTGGAACCAAAGGAAGCATTTTAACTAGCCTCGTTGTTTTCACATCTACAAAACCCAGCCCTGAAAGAACATCTGCTAAAGAAGGGGAGGTTAGGACGGTGCCGACGGAGACCTTCTCTGTGCCAGGCCCGTGCTCACTCTCCCTACCACCAACAACAAAGCAGGCCCTATTGCTAAGGGAGGAAACTGAGGTTCAGGGAGGTTAAGAAATGCGTTCAAGTCCCTGTCATCAGGAAGGAGAAAACCACCTACTGAAACTCAAATGGACATTCATCTTCCTTTTCCTTTCTGAGAGGAAATAAGATGGTAAAAACTCTAGAAAGGTTCTGATTGTCATTTTCAGTCTTACATAGTTTTTTTTTTTCATCTTTTTGAGACAAGGTCTCACTATGCAGTTAAGGCTGGTCTTGAGGTCACTCTGTAGCCCAGGCTGGTCTCAAACTCACAACGATCCTCCTGCCTCAGCCTCCCAAGTGCTGGGGTTACAGGCGTGCACCACCACACCCAGCCTTGGAAATTTATAAATGGAGCTCCACTTCACTGACTATTGCCTGGTCCTATCAGGAGGTCCTTTCACAGTCCTGCGTGTCTCAATAGCATAGGTATGTTTGACACACGTCACCAGGCAAACACTACAGAGTGTATACAAATTATGAGAGCTATGATGTGACTAATGATACAGTCTCATGGGACCACTTTTGTATATGCAACCCATCACTTACTGAGATGCCCTTATACGGTCCACACTTGTACTGCAAACTCATGCGCCACAGAAACAAGGGCACCTCAAAGAAGCACCTATCCACAGCATTGTTTCTCTGCGGGCTTCCTACCTGCACCCTTTCCCGCAAGGCTCCTCCCCTCTCCAGGCTTTAATTTCCCCACCTGCAACAAGACTGCTCTGACTTAGGCATCTCTCTGAGCCCAGAATGGTCCCTGTTCTCTGTCTGCACTTAGGTCTATGCTCTATGTCTTGGAGAATCCAAATGCTCTCGGTTGTCACTCAACAGGTGTATATTCATCCTCTGCAAGGCAGCATGGACTGCGCTCCTTTCTGAAGATTGGAGATTTAAAAAAAAACATAAAAGACATAGCCCCCAATCTTGAGGAGCTATTGGAGACAGACAAGGAGGAAAAAGCCATTTTAACTCCCTGGGCCTGGACGATGTGCAGACATATACAGAGTAACCGCATTTGCGTGAGACTTCTTGGGAAAGCCATCTTCACAGGGCTGGTGATCCCTGAGCTAGGTTTTGAAGGATAAGTAGGAGCTTACCAAGTAGGCAATGTAGGGATTTGGCTGGCTCGTAGGGCCAAGAAGGCCTGCTCAGAGGTTGCCGGGGCTGTCCCTCTTTCTTCTCCATATCTCTCATAGGGTGAGCTAAATCTCAGATTCTGCCTCAGTTTCTCCCAGGTGTAGTTCTCTGTACTGTCCCTCCTTGTCCACCTCCGTTAGCCTTTGTTCTTTCCCCCTCTTCGCAGTCTTTGCTGTGCTGCCTGTTTTCCCCTCCCCCTCTCTGAATTGCCCTTTCTCCCCCTCCCCTCCGCCCCGGGCCCCAGGTCCCCAACAGCCCCCCTCTCTTCCCGCGCGTACGGGCTGCACAAGCTCTCTGGGACTTTTCCCGTGTGCTTTGTCCGTGTGGGCGTCTCTCCCCGTGCTTTCCCTTCTCTTTGCACACTCCTGTGTGTTTCTTTCTCTCTTCCTGCCCCGTCCCTTGTCCTTTCTCAGTCCAAGGGGTTCTGAACTCGAGAGGATTACACAACCCCGAGACCCTCGGTGCCTCTCCCTGCCCGGCAACCCCGAACGCCCACCGCAGCGCCCCGGGTATGTGTGGGCGCGGGCGGAGGACCCGGCCCTCCCGAGCTGGGCTCAGCGGGTTCCTGGAGCCCAGCTCCAACTTTCTGTCCCAACTTGCGCGGGGAACAA